TGAAAACCACAACAAATTAACCAATAATGATGTACAATAACAGGTATGAAGAATAATGTTCAATAATGGCATCTGTAATAACTAGCTAATTGTAATACCTGAGGCTTCGGAGGAAAAGGGGGGGGGGGGATCATGGCACAAATATAGAGATGAGCAGTCACTTAGAAAAACATAATAAAACACTCAATAAAGTTTACATACATCCTTTAGACAACAGCTCAGAGGAGAATGTGTAGACGTCAACAGAACCAGTTAATATTCAGAACAGTAACATTTCTGGAATGATAGTCACCAGCTTTTGAATATATGTTCTGTCCTTTCCTCCTTCTTTCTGTAATTATCACAATGTAGCAGATCCTTTGCAGGCGCTGTTTGCATAACCTGTTAAGCATTGCCTGAAATCCTCCTGCTTCTTTGCCAGCATTTCCAGCTCATAGGTTGTCCTTGATAATCAGTGTTCACCGCCATACTGGCTGACTCCAGCCTTTTCTTCCAGTAACCATACCTTCCATTTCTATTTTTTTTATACAGTTGTGACCCTGTCCTCCAAATAAAGTTGGTTTTCTGACCTTTACGGGTTTTCCATGACATGACGTCTTTGGACAGTGGCCAGTATGCTTATGTAACAATTTTGTTATTGGCTGCAACTACATAGTGTACAGACGTGGTGGGTATGATTATATTTAAAATCAAATGTTCTGAGACTTTATCTGCAGTAACAAAAATATAGTAAATGTATGAGGATTTAGTTTTACTTTCTGTGGATGTATCAACACAACCCCAATGTTCTTAGTCAAAGGGAAAACAAGCTGTTATTGCCTTGCTCCGTTGGCATTTAATGATTACTTCCCTTGTGCAAATTTACTATTGCATAAAAAAATACTTCCTTTTAGTTCATGGTTCTCAACCTTCCTTATGCCACGACCCTTTAATACAGTTCCTGATGTTGTTGCGACCCTTTAATACAGTTCCTCATGTTGTGGCGACCTCAACCATACAATTATTTTCGCTGCTACTTTATAACTTCAATCAATATGTATTTTCCAATGGTTGTGACTTGCAGGCAGAGAATCGCTGCTTTAGTTTCTTAGAGTTGAGTTTCTGAGACAATATTATTTTTTTAATACAAAATATTGAAAAATGCCACATTAAAAAAAGTTTTTACAAGGGAAAAGGGTTACTATTGCTGACATAATTTAGTTTTCAATATTATTTATGAACTAGTCCTCACTCGCAATCCCGGGAAGTAGAGGCGGCCGGCGTGATGCTGACCACATCACCCATCTTGTGCCGTTGGTCTATAAAAATATAGGTCTAGCCCTATATGCCCTATACGCCTAAAGGCGTGGAAAGGGTCCTTTACTTTTTTACTTTACTTAGTCCTCACTCTATATCCACACTATAAAATTTCTTACAAGTATCTAAACATGTACAATAATTTCACAGCAGATAAGTACACAGATACAAAATGTTTTTAAAGTTAGTTGCTTATCCTTTAAAGCACGTTGAGGAACCAATCCCAGCATTTTTTTTGGGTGCTGTTGTGGTTTTTCTAGGCAAATTTTACGTTCAGTAGTTTGCCATTCCTTTCTAAACAGTCAGCTCTTGGTACCCATGTCGAAATCAATACAAGACAAATCATCTGCAGCTGGGATGGAACCCAGTACCCCGGCAATACAAAGGCTATTTGCATTGTCTAGGCCACAGATGCTGACATGAAATTAAAGGGACTGTAAAATTACTAGGTCACAGCTCCAAATGAGGCTTTTCTCCTCTTAGCTCTTCGCATTCCCCAAACTGATAGAATAGCGGCCATCTAATTTTATCACTGTATTCTGGTTTTATCTTTTTTCTTCTCTGCTCACTGTTAAAAGGGTGGTTAACATGTTGTGTTGTTTACAGCTAGACTACAATATTCGCACATTTAGGCACACAACATAACATTTTAGCAAACCCCAAATTAGTTGCCTTTCACAGTAAACTAGCTTATGGAATCCTGCAACATGCATGAGGAGCCAGTTTCAGTCACATAGCCGCACATGCCCAAGTAGATAAGGAGGAAATTTCCTAGTCACAAACTAGTCCTGGCCATGAAGATGTACACGCCCAGCCGATATGGCTATAATTCATTTTGCTTTCTCTGTGTTTGCCCTTAAAAAGGTGGCTGGCACACTGTGCCATGGTTTACAGCTAGGCTGTGATATCTACACCTTTTAGTCCAACGCATCAGATTTCAGCAAACCCCTAAACAGTCACCTTTTATGACATGCCTGTTAGCAGGTAGTGAGTCTATTATAATATTCATCCTGGAAAGTTTACTCTGTCAACAAACGCTCCAAGAAGTCAGATATGTTGGCCGAAAGGTGCAAATATCACAGTGATGCAGTTACATTACTCAAACAAAGGAAAAGAAGAAGATATTTATCCAATATGGGGTTTGAGGTTTTGAACAACGGATCAATATCATGGCAGTCGGGTGTAACCAATAAGTGCTCCGTTCTTTCTTCTAACTCAAGTCTGAGTCCAAAGAAGCTCAGCACAGTGCACAGGGTCTGTAGTTCTGGCCAGGATGCTAAAATATTTTGAGTAGATTGTTAACTCCGAATTTTGCCCAGGCAGCGATTTCCAACTGCCAAGGGATTTTTTTAAACGTTCGCAACAATGCACACGGGCGTCCATCTCACTATCCAGTAACCAGGGGGAATTTGTAGAAGTCAAGGTGAAAAAATCCTAGCCCTTATTGGAGATTGAAACCGGAACCTCTAGCACTCAAGGCGGACACCATACCTCGAGACCACTCAGCCCACTGATATGGGGCCTGGCACCCAAACAAGGAAAAACGTTCTGATAATGGACATGAACAGATGGCTGTTGATTTATTTGTTCTAATACTAAATGCATCAGTTCTCTGACAAACTGGATTTCTGTCAACCTAATGTTGTGCACATGCAACTCAAACATCCTCCTCTAGCATGAAGACAGTAACACTATACACAGCACTCTAACAGATCACTAACAAGTGAGGTTAAAGGGCAGCAGATACAACACCAGAGGAGGATGGTGATGAGGAGATGAGGGATCCGGTGGAGGAGAAGAAAAAGAAGGAGAAGAGGATAAAGAAAAGAAGGAGGAGGAGGATCATAAGGAGAAAATTAAGGATCACAAGGAGAAGAAGGAAAAGGGAAACAAAGATAAGAATGAAGAGAAGAGAAAATATTATCATGATGAAATTTGCCAACAGTTCATTTAACTCTAAAGCATGCAACTGACCATATCTGTATTGATTACTGCAAAGATTTAAATATCTGCACCTAAAACAAAGTGCTTTAAGTGAGATGCCTGAAATGATTCTGTGATATGAAATGCCTGGTTGAGGAAAGCTAGCAGTTTTACCATTATAGATTTGCAAAACGCTGCTCTCATCACGGTCTGAAAGAAACTTGGTCTATCGCCAGCTCTCCCGCCTCATGTACTTTCATACTCAAGGAGTCACTTATATCCTGTGCCTATCGTCATGTTGGTTGGCCCCTGCGTCTCCCTCCTGGTACCGTGCCTTCTGCTTTTATTTTGTCCAATCCGCCGTGGCGCTTGATATGACCAAAAAGATTCAGCTTCTGAGACAGGATGCTATTTATTAGCATTCTAGATGTGAAATAATACTTTTAGCTTATGGAAACTGGCTAGTACTTTCCATCTTCCAGACAATAGTGTTACACTGTGCTATACAGAAGGATGAGAATCACAACCGTTGGTGATTGCGAGTGTAACTAGCATGACCAGCTCATGCTAAGAGAAGTTACATATTTTGGAAAAAGATTGGATGTTAAACTTACACTAACGACAGCTGAGCGGCCAGCTGTTCATTCTGATGAGGTAACTCCAGGAGGACCTATTTTATTTACGAAGGATGTGACAGCCACCCAAATTTGCATCCAAAGGACTGTTTCCGACAGTACCATACTCATAATATGGCTAAACTGCACTGAAATCACTGCAGCTACAGTCTGCATTTAGCTATAAAGTTAATATTTTGTGTGTATAGGTCGTTTTCTGCCACTGTTTTCTTTAAAATGTTGTTCAGCTCTCTATGAGACCCTAGAGCCTCTGAGTGATAAACTAACCCAGAAATGTATCATAACTTTTGAATTTGTTAGGAAACTGAACCAATTCCAAAGTGTTATTCTCAAATTTGGATATTCAATGCTCCTTTGGCTGCAAAACCTTGATAAGTGAAGATTTTTTTGGGTCAAATTTTATCTTTGTAAATATAACACCTGTTTAATTCTTTTTTTTTTCCCTAAAACTATATCAGTATTAAACAAAAATACATAATCAGATTCAAAATATACATTCATTCCTCTTTAAAAGAGTATAGGGATTAGAAATATATAACATTCAAATTTATTTTTTCACACCACCTCCTGTGCCATTTTTGTAAAGGTAAATTAATTTAAACCAAGCCTGCCAAATTCATGGGCCTGAAAGAGTTAAAGCCTTGAGACATATGGGTCTGTACAATATGAATAGAGGCAATATGTGTAGATATACAAACATAAGACCACATGCTAACTTTCTTCTACACTTAAGAATTGAAACACTAGATACAAGAAATACAGAAGGAATGTATTACAGCTTGCATCTTGTCACTGTCACATCCTTGTTAATATAATCCCATCAGTTCACTGCAATAAGTAGTATATGTTTATCACGAAATTCACTGCCTTTAATAGCGCATATAATGTCTTTCATCATCATCAAATACCTTGTAGAATGGCTTGGGGGATCATGCCTCTCCATAACCTGGGATCTTAAAACAGCATGTATGTTTATTTGCTGACAAATCTACATGCCTTGGCAAAAGGCGGCCAAGAATCCTCTCATACTGTCTTCCTCTATCTCATTTACCATAAATCATTCCAGCACATGTTCCAGTGTCCGTCTTCTCAGAACAAGACCCAAAAAAATTATGACAATGTTTATATTATTCTCTATTTCGATGACTATACACCCGTCCTAGTGTTGTTACTGGAGTTTGGGGGCCTCCCCTTGAGGCCCACTTGTTCAGCAAACCGATCAAGTAGTGAAGTCAGGCCCCCTCCAGAGGAATGTCTAACACCCTGTGAATGTACAGAGCTGGAGTAGGCCATAAAGAACATCTGACTCACAGCTTCCAGACGGCATGCTCTCATAGAGGACATGTTGATATCAAATGCTTCATTGCACCTGAAAACAAAGTGTAAAAACTGCCAAATGCTTGCACAGGCAAAGTAAAAATGAATAAGACAGCTGTCAGACATGCCAACACTAATGGTCCCATACCAGAACTGCAGAATCTCAGATATGTGCCATATCAACAACACCCTAACAGTGCACATGTCTAAGATAAAAAGCTGTGGTTTCTCAGTGCCTACCCCCACAAGCTGCCACTTACAGAGCCACCTAGCAACAAGAACAAAAATTAAGTTAACAAACGGGTCCATTCCCAAATCATCAGGTGTTTTAGGAATATAGGCACACATTTTTCTAGACCACCTGGCAGCAGATGGCTGATGTCAATACCTCAAGGGCATCCTTTTCTTTTTGGGTATTTTCTTGTACTCATTTTTGCCTGGACAGACCTGGGTGCTTGGGTCATTATTTACAAATCTATTTCTTCAGGGATTTGAACCTATGACAACTGAGCTGGCAGGCAGAATCCTAGCCATCGTACCTCCACACCTTCCAAATAAAAAAATTAATATGATCCAACAAACATAAATTATATCAGTATAGTAATACTAGGGGTTTTCTCTAACACTATGGGTTTGGGCTGGTGGGTGAAAAAAGGGTCAGAGTGCTGATAGGAATATACTGCGTGCAGTGATGTCAGTTTATAACTCAGCTCAACACAGTTCTTATACTATGGAAGCCCAGCACCCCAGCATTATGAAACATGGTTCACAATGCCTAAGCCACAAACGCTGATGCATTCATCAACATAAATGTAATTATTTTTCTGTCAGGTTGACCCAGGCTTAAATTAATACTATGTAAAGGCGATCAGCGTGATGGTCACCACATCACCAACCAAGTGTCAATTGGTCTATGAAATATAGGACTAGCCCTATATGCCTAAGGGTGTGGAAAGGGTTTCTTACTTTCTTTTTGTCTTGTTCATAAGCAATAACAGACAACTGTCTGGTTTTCCCAAAGAATGATCAGTGTCTGCAATTATTTATTTCTGTACAAGAAAGTAAGACTACTGTGCAGTCTGTACAAGAAAATTAGACTACTGTGCAGTCTGTACAAGAAAGTTAGACTACTGTGCAGTCTGTACAAGAAAGTTAGACTACTGTGCAGTCTGTACAAGAAAGTTAGACTACTGTGCAGTCTGTACAAGAAAGTTAGACTACTGTGCAGTCTGTACAAGAAAGTTAGACTACTGTGCAGTTTGTACAAAAAAGTTAGACTACTATGTAGTTTTGGTCAAATGGCACAGATATGAAATAACTATATTGATTTTCCTAGACATTAGCTTCTCTGCAAGTATTTCTTTCTTGAGCGAATCAATTAATTAAATGTTGCCACCAATGCACACCAGATATTCCTACAAGGGCTCCTTTGGATATTTTCTCTGGGTTATGCTGGTGTGTTGGGAAACATGCAGGCAGACAGGCTGGCTGGTTCTGCACCAATCGGTGGTGAATTGATGTATGCCAAGCTAGATTTTGTGAGGGTCCTGCAAGGAGTGCCCAGGGGATCTGCCCGACGCTCAACACTCAAGGGAAAGGCGAGACTGATATACAATCAGACAGCTACTGGTGCCATCGGAACTGGAAATCTTCGTTTGCTGCTGAAGATGGGGATGGAGCACTTATAGGGGTGTCCTGAGAGCTCTGATGTCGATTCTTAATTCAACATAATTCAATTCTACAAGGGCTCTGCTTCTTTCCTCACTAGCCAACTAAGAGTTATCATACTGATTGAGCCAGTTGCAATCTGAAGTAAGTCTGTTTTTTCCTCAGGCATGTTGAAAATCATCCAAACCCTCTGCTCCCACCTAGCCAGCAATCCCTGGTGAATTATAAAGATATGCCTTGATGTAAATGTAAACTGCAGACCTTAGAGCCTAGCAGCAGCTGTCTGGTCACTGTGCTACAACAGCTGTTTTTTTTGGGGGGGCAAAGTGTTTACCCCATAATTGTAAAGACTAATTCTGAACTTGTGGATGATCTGATAAGTATTACAATCGCTGAGTTTGCTTCACACGTCATTCTCTGACACTTGTTTTAACCTGGATCAATATAGAAACCCAGATATTATTTTAATTGTTTTTTTTTTATCTGCCTTTGCAGGGATCACCATCAGATCAAGAGGCGAGTACGCTAACCATCAATTCTTTTGAGGCCTGGAACCCACATGGGATAATGCCTCCCCTGACAGCTACCGCTGTAGTGCTTAATAAACTGTGTTCACTGAGAGAGAGATATCTAGAGAAATCAAAGTTTTCAAAACTCACAAGCTGACATGACTGCTGGATCTATCAGTGCTAGGTCGAGAATGCGATGAACCGTGGGACATGCTGTGTAGGTTATCAGCACTGGAAATGATTCTGCCAGCTGAAGAAAGTTGAAAATAAATGTAATATTTAAAAAATATTCACGATAATATAAAGTAATCATAGATCACCATATGAAATGCTCTGGTTCTGTTACAAGCAACCACAAAAAGCCATATTTAAGAACATAGCCAGGGGAACACCATGCAAAAATGGCAACAACAGCATTAAGAGTATTCTGTTATCAAATTCAAACCATTGGTAATAGCAAGGGCCCACATTTTACACTGGTAGCGCAAAATTCTGCCACAAATTGTTCCTAAAAGATTTGCCTATGAGGAGGAAACATCGTACCTGATGGGACAAGACCAAGATACCAAGAAATAATGGCTAACAATAGGGTTAAAATAAAACTTCAAAAATTACAGTATTTACCTGAGTATAAGACGCACTGTCTGCTTCTGTAGCTTAGGCGTTGCGAACGCGCTTTACAATGCAGTTGGCCAGGTTCGATCCCAGCTGCAAATAGTTTGTCTTGTGTTGGTTTCCACAGTGATACTGAGATCTGAGCGTTCAGCAAGCAATGGCGAACTACTGAACATAAAATGTTTCTAGAAAAACCACACAATGGCCAAAAATTGCTAAGGTTGGTTCTGCAACGTCCTGTAAAGGAAGCACAACTAACTTTATAAGACACACTAACCCGGAAGGCTAACCCTGTCAACAAATGCTTGCAGAAGTCAGATGTGTCAGCTGAAATGCGCAAATATCGCAGCCATGCTGTAAACAGGCACAACACTTGTACATCTTCGAATAAATACAAAAGAAGAAAAAAGAAGACATGCCTATTTTCCAAAAATATAGGGTCTAAAAAAAAAACATGTGCAATGGTAGTAAAATTGACTCTTTTCCATGCCTTTCAGGCGTATTGGGTATATAGGGCTAGACCTATATTTTAAAGACCAAAGGCTAGAACAAAATAGGTGTGGTCAGCATCACGCCGGCAGCCTTTACCTCCTAGGACTAGTTTAGCTCTGCCAAGAAGTGAACCCACGACCTTAAGATCCGCAAGCGAGCATCTAGCCACTACACTACAGCAACTCCCGTGCAATGGTAGTAGATTATTATTTTTTTGGTCCAAATTTCCAGATCCAGAATCAAGGTGTGTCTTACACATGGTAGTGTTTTATACTTTGGGAAAATTAGCACAATTAAGATTGGGTGCAATGCCCACCGATTATATTAGATGATAAGGCCCTAATCTCTTCCATTTCTATCATATTCAGTTGTTACATTAACCCTTTGTATCTGTATTATTAATATAACAATTCTGCAGTCAAACCAATGATCTGCCGTCAACTGATAGCCCCTAAAAAGCTATTCCAGATCAGACCCCCTGGACAGAGAATGATAAGCTGCCAATACACACCCAGAAAATGGTGAAAGTAGTGTTCGACAAGGAAGAACAAAACGGTGTGCAATGTAAAACAGCCACCCCCAGTATACTTGATGATAAATACCCAAAGGATCTTTGGGTTCCTGTCTACACAGATGGGTCAGCACAAAACAAAAGCAGAAATGGAGGAGCAGGAGTGTACACTGAGTATCTAAATAATACCAGATATACAGCCAAAATACCTACAGGAAAACACTGTCACAACTTTGATGCAGAAGTTCAAGCTGTCAAAATAGTAGCAGAGAAACTGCTAAATATATGTCATATTTTACAACCCATGGTATTCCTGACAGACGCAAGAGTGGTACTTTAGGCACTAGAATCTGGAAAATTACCTGGTATACAGACAATACTCTCCAAACTTGGCAACCCGTGCAAGGTAGCTATGCAAGTGATACTATCCCACTGTGGAGTACCCAGAAATGAGAAAGCTGATAATTTAGCTAAGGAAGGTGCAAATGAAGAACAACCTGAGGTAACAGAAGAAGAGAATAATCAAATTAAAAAACCGGCACAAGACGATTACCATATTATGGACAGACCAGAGCAAGTCATTATTCCACGCCTTAGAACAGGACACAATTGACTTCACAGCCACATGTACAAAAAAATTTAAGATTGGTGAATCAGCCATGTTCATCTGTGGATTAGCACTTGAGACAACAGATTACATCCTCCAACTGTCCCAAATTCAACAAACCAAGGCAAAACTTTTAGCCAAGAGAAAAACCAGTGCAAGCCAAAATTTACAGGTCGCTGAGTGAATTACAAAAGATGGTAAAGTTCATACTAGAGACAACACTGCAGATATAGTAAATCTATTTCAAGCAAACATAAAAAGAGAAAAATTAGTATGACTACTTCTGTCTGAAAGTATCTTTGTTGAACCCCTGAGAAATAAGTATTTAATGCTTTAAAGCATAACCTCATGGAATAAAATAGTTAACCCTTTCGCTGCTATGGATGAGATAACTCGTCTGCCCGAGACGGCTAAGGACGAGATAACTCGGCTTCTGTTTTCTGTGCCCTCACTGCTCGAGATAGCTCGTCCTCGACTTTTCTTACAGACTGCTAAGGACAGTAATTCTCGGGGGTGAAATGGCAATATTTAATCTGATCAAACTGACCCATTTACATACAATTAAAACCCTTATCATGTGCGTTTAGGTGTATTTAGATGCGTTCCACGTTATCCTGTTGCTTTGTTACCATAGAAGCATGGTCGGTGAACGGAATATTTTTTGCCCTGAAATATATTTCTGGTTTTGCGTTGTTGTAAATTTTTTGTGTTTTTTAAATACAAAATTTCAAGAAAATTAGTTAATTAAAGTTAATGAAGAATTTTCATAGGAATTTCTAGTATAGCTGGTATCACGTCTGCCTTACAATCGAAAGGTCATGCGTTCAACCCCTACATGCCCTTTTTTGTGTGTTTTTTTATTTTTTATTATTATTTTAAATTTAAGCTCTTAGCACTTTCGGCAACAGATCACCGAAGTAATAATTTGTATCCACGTTTTGAATCTCTCCATTTTAAATGCACATACATTATATAAAGTTGTTGTGGGGAAAAACACTCCTGTTGCCGAATTTCGCTTAATGTTAGTAAGAGAAATTCTACAAAAATATTGCAAGGAAAAGAGAAGAAGTCTAGGAGAACAAAAAAAGTGAAGACCAGCTTCGTTTAGTACAAAGGCATTTCCCTTCAATAATAGAGTCCGTAACATCACAGAAGAAATTCCCAACAAGAAAGTGTGTGGTATGCGTAAAAAGCAAAAAATGTAGGGTAAACCACATACATGTGCAAGGACCGTGATTTGGCATTGTGTGTTGCACCTTGATTTGAAATATTTCACACAAAAAGATATTATTAATAATAGTAAAAACCATGTATTTGCTTACTAGTGTTTTGTGTTGCTTGATAAGTTTGTAGTGTTCTTTTTGTTAATGAGTTTTCATGGCGTATCCATAGCGCGTCTGACTTGTAAGCGCAAAGGTGAACCATACACCTTTAAAGAGTTTTTATTTTAGGTGTACAGTTTTTACCCCGCGCCTCAAGCGCATCTGCTTTAGGAGGAAAAAAAGGTATTCAGCACAGGAGGAAGGATTAGCACTCGCCTGGCTTAGCACAGTGGTTACATTGGCTGGCGGAGGGCGCAGCAGCAAAAAGGTTAAATTAACAACTGGTTAGGGCTGAAAGAATAATATACAATTAAGCAAACTACCACTACACCCCCCTCCTCTTTTTTTTTCTCCCAATTCTTTTCTCTTTTTTCTAAACATACATATAAAACAATCTACTTGAAGCTGATACCTCACCTGCCTATACTGTTAGAAGATCCAGACTGATCAGCTCTCTGTGGTACAGACATGGGACTAGAAGAGCGCAGCAGTGGGCTGCCCATAAAGTGATTTGATTTCACAGACAGTTGTTGACTATCTGATGACAAGCGTCGCCGACTGGCACTGACGGGAGAACTATGGCGTAAGGCCACCGAAGCTGCCTGAGCAGGTGACAATGACCTCCGCTGTGTCATGCTAAACAATAAAAACAATTTTTTTTTAAGTTTTTAATTTTTAAAAAAAACTATACATATGTTTTAGTATATTACAATATTACAATTATAGCAACTCCCCTATAAATATTGCAGTGTACTACAATTATTGTAACTATGCTACTAAAACTTAAAAAAAACCAAAATGCTGATGTAACGGTTCTGCTGACAGTGAGTAGGCCCAACCATAGTCTACAACACTTAATACAAATCCCTGATAGAAAAGGAAACGTAGTTGGTCAATGTTGGCTGTGAGACCTTTCGTGGCTCTATTTATGACACTGCCTGCGTGATGCTTGTATGATAAGCATCTGTTAAAAGTCTTGCCAAGGTATTTCACTGTGTTCGTTCTATCAATTATATATTACACATGCTCATGACTGGTGTAGGTGTACTGAAAATGTGGGTATTCAAGGAGAACCATGTTAAGGAAATCTTTGCCACGTTTACCTGAGCTCTTGACTTATGGGGCCACTCACTGAGTCGGTTTAATTCATGCTGTAGCATTGTTGTAATTTCATGCCCATTGCTTTCTCGGTGGTAGACAAGGATATCATCTGCGAAAGACATTGTTCTACCAAGACCTACTACCTGCGCACTAGTGACTACTGATGTGAACACACTGAAGAGAACAGGAGACAATGGTGATGATCTCTGGGGCAAGCCCATTAAGACACACTGAGGTTTCGATGGCCATACATCCCATGGACACTGTTCTTTTGAAAAAAGCTGCTGCGATCCAATAGACACATTTCGTCTCTATGTGCACGTCTAACAGCAATCTGATGAGCATGTTGTTACATGGTAAGGTATTCTTATGTGCAATCTGAACAATTTCACTCACCCCTAAATTAAGAAGATTTTGAATCTCAAAATGACATTAATTTCACCAGCTATGCATATTAAAAAAAAAAAATTTTAATAGTTCATTATAAATGTAATTTCATAAAATTTTAATTTATAAACAACATAAAATTAGAAAGAATCTAGACATTACAATTAGTTTAGCTATACAAATAACTGCAAATTCATACTTTGTTAGTGTAGATGTCCTACTCCACTCCCACTCCTCTTCCTCATCTGCCTCAGCAGGACCCACATCAAAACAGGCTTGGTCTTGTGGCTCAGAGCTGCTAATGCTGTTCAGACTAGTAGTGCTGCCTTTGCCTGGATAGTTCATCAGCTCCTCAGCTAGGAACAGAACAGATAGAACAATAATGTAAAATAATGTAAAGTAAAAGTGAAGGAAGGACCCTTGTTAAAGCCTATAGACATATTAGGCAGACAGTAAAGTAAAGGACCCTTGTGCACGCCTTTAGGCGTAAAGGGCATACAGTGCTAGACCTGTATTTTATTGACAAGCCAGCACTCGGTGGGTGATGTGGTTAATATCATGCTGGCCGCCTTTACTTCAAAAAACTTTCTCTGGTGCCTATTTAAGGCCTGGTCAACCTGGGAGCCAAGGTGCTTTTGGAAAAAAGTGTGGCTCCGATCGGATTTGAACCCACGACCTTCAGATCCGCAGGTCAGTGTCTAGGCCCTACTCCACGGTGGCTTCCTGCAGTAGAATAAAACATGATTAAACCAACAGATGGGATAAAAGATTTTAAAAAAAGATAGAAACATTAAAAATTAGAAATGGACAAATGTTAAGCATACCCAACCCTGCTATGCAATGCAGAGACCTGGGATATGAACAAGTAACTAAAAAATCAGCATTAAAGAATATCTGAAGATGTGAATACCCAGAATAATAGGCAATATTTAACGAAAACAAAAGCAATCAAAGAAATTCTGAAGGCACTAGAAATGAACAAAAAGTTACTGAATGAAAAAAAGACAACTGCCATATTTTGGCCATATCAAAAGTCAAAACTCTTATAAAAACCATACTGGAGGGAATATATGAAGGCCTGCAAACAAGAGGCAGACATCAATACAAGTGGGAGGATAACATCAAGAAATGGATGAATAGCAATCTGCAAGACAGTACATTCAGGGCAAGGGACTGAGCATGGTGGAGTTCCATTGCAGCCGACCTTCACTTTGGAGACGGCACATGAATGATTGATTCAAATCCATGGGTGACCAATGAAATAGCTAGAAAATTAAAAGATAAGAATACAGTAATAAAACAATACAATGAAAAGGCATGAGAATTACAGTAATAGCTAGAAATTGAAAAGACAAATAAAGACCTTTTTCTTCACATTTAAAAGAAGGGTTGGCACATAGTGTTAAGGTTTACAGCTAGGCTGTAATATCTGCTCAGGTATGCAGCCTAGCTGTAAACTACATAGTGTAAATACCGCTCTTTTAAGAACAAATGAAGAAAATGAAGAAGAAGAAGAAGAAGAAGAAGAAGAAGAAGAAGAAGAAAGCAAAGACTAATATATAATTTACAACTGGAAGCTAAATAAATATAAAATATACCTAACAGAACTCCTTCCTGAAAGCCGAGATTAATATCAGAGTCTACATGAGAATGGATGAACTGTCTGACTGTGTGTAACCTGCTAGCAGCTACGCCTTCTCCCGGGGGAGAGACTCCCTTCATGTGACTCAACTGTGGCCTAAAGAGATATAAAACACTGAACAATAGCAAATTGATAGCATTCGTTCATTAATTCTCCTATAGAACAATTGTATATCACACAGAGCTTGCAGTCTATTTCTCTATTCCATTCTGTCCTGTGCAATTTGCTTTCTTCTTCTTTCATTCACTTCAAAAAAGTTGTCTATATCAGTAATCTTGTCTCTTGTATAAATTTCACTGTCATTTTCAGTTCATTTAGTGGTCCGTTGAGTTTAATTTCCACTGCCATACCTATGATGCAAAAACCCAGGTAATCAACATAGCAAAAGAAACTGCTAAATACCAACCTTGGCTCACAGTCTGTGGTAATGCTGGCAGAGGCAAAATCTGTAGTTAAAGCTCTTCAGTCTGGGAAGCTTTTAGAATTGTCCTGTGTAGTCACTTTGATATTACAAACGAAATCCTTTTTCTTCTTCTTTGCGTTCATTAGCTGTAAACTCCGGCAGAAAGTTCTGGTTGTTCGTTCACCTGTGTACTTAAGTTTTGTTCCAGAATCTCAGTGCTTTATTCACATCCATTTTACAGATCTCACTTATCTGTATGCAGTCTGTTGGTTCCTTGCCTCTCAGGCAGATGCACTTTGAAGGAAGCCCCCCAACTAGCCAACTCCTATCACATACTTGTTCGGATTCCATGAGTCTGATCCGGCAGGCATTGCCGGCTTTGTACGCAGACAGTGAATCAAGGCATTGCAAAACTCCACTGTGCGTGGAGTTACCTTCATCTTTGTACCAGGGCATGCAGGTGTTTTTGGCAATGAAAGAGCCGACAGATTAGCCGGCTCTGCCTTAGTTACAAAGGGTCGCCCATAGAGGGAATCCAGTTCAGTGGCTTCTCTCTTCAATGTTTGCTTTACAATTTTTTCTTGGACGTCTTCATTTCCTCAGTTTTCCATTTCAGTGCCTGTTTGGTGATTCTCTATTTCCTTTTTCAGTTTGTGCCAAATATAGCGCCATCTTTTCTGACTTATAACTGCTCATATTAATGGTTGCCCGGACATTTAAAACTGAGAGCAATAGAATATCAGAATCAGAAGATGCTTGCCTGCTGGCTCAAAAGTCAAGGTTTCAAATCTACATCAAGATGGGTTTTTTCAATAATGACCTTGACTCCTAGGTTGACCCAGCCTAAGATGCATACTAGATAATGTTCTGGGAAGCAAAGGCGACTGGCAAGAAGTTGATAACATCTCTAAGTGAGTGCCAACTGGTCCATGAAATTTTGAGCCTAGCATCATAAACATGATGAGTCGCTGGCATCAAAAGGGTCCTTTACTTAATATAAACAAGGAGCTTTCATGGTGAAGTGGTGAAGACATTTGCCTCATGCTTTGAAGATTGTGGGTTAAGCACTGGTCTCTCTTTCAGCAGGAGATCTATGTGAGTTGCTACAGCAGCTTGGAAGCTTGTGCTGTAAACAAACAAGATATTCAGGTACTTTTTCGTCCATTAGGATGAAGGGTGCTCTTTGTTGCTTTTTTTTTTTTAAAGATTTGTGTGTTTTAATGTAAGATTCAAAGGAGAATAGTTTTTTGGGCCTGTGCTACGGAGTTCGTGCAAAGTATTTCCTCAGGGTTTTATCAGCACCCTATGGCAACCAAACAGGTGAATAGAACAGAGGCAGGCTATAATGCTGGTGTAGGTAGGAAACAGCAGGATGTTTAAGTATATTTTGAAGGTGGGGGGGTCTGAGCAACTATGAATATGTCCAGAGTGCTATGAAGATAACCCGATGCATAACTCAGCATGCGCTGTATGACACATCTGAAAGGCTGCTCGGTGCAGAGAGACCAAGCTACGCAGCACAAATCCCTCTACAATGAAGTGAACTTTGTCACTTTTAAAGCCAGCTGCATGTCATTTGGTGGTAGTCTGCTTTAAAAACAATGTTCTACGCAATTAGTGCCGCACCATTAAGAAATCAACAGAAAGTTCTTCTCCTGATGCCATGTGACATTGGTAGTCGTGTCTATCCACAAGTTCTGTGTCATGTACTTTCATTCAGTTATTTCACAGATGCTCTTCAATGCTATTATGTTTAACAGTCCAGCATCTTCTCTCTCTTCTTTCCTCTGCCTCTTTTTCTCTCCAATTTTCCAACCATCATAATGAACATGATATGACAATGTACTCAGTCATAGCTTGAATTTATCATGTCATGAACTTAGACTGTCCCCTCATGTAGGCAATCAGTTCTCTGAGTGAGCCAATTTCTTTCAAGGCATCATCATTGCTCTTTTTATCTGTCCAGTGTGTTCTCATAATTAGTCTATAAAACCCCATCTCTGCAGCTTCGAAATAATTTTTTTTACTAACTGACCAACTGTCCATGATTCATTTCTGTTTATTAGGATAGAATTTATATAGTTCTTGAGGTTTCTTTTATCTCACCTCAGTTGACAAAGAAAGATTGCTGAGTAAAATTACACACCAGCCAACAGATACGAGGTGGTTTGCAAGGCTCTGAATAGAAAATGTAAATAACTTTTAAAAGCAATAGCTTCGTCACATTTTTTACTTCTAACGTAGGAAACTAACATCACACAATCATAGTAAATAACAAGGACCTACCTTGGCAGGACAGAAAACTCATCAGAAGAAATGTCTTTCAATACTTTAAAGCAAAAATATAATACCTAAATAGAAATTATAAGAGTCAGTAAAATATATCAACTGGTTTTTTTGGGTAGGGTTTCTTTATGAGAATGGGCTAAACTCATTATATTTTTAAAATATTATACATTCAAACAATTTATCCATTATCCCGCTGCTGTCTTTATACGCCACATAGCACTTGCAGTCAATACCTTTACTCCATTTTATCTTGTGTTTTTCTTTTGATATAGTACAGGAAATCTAGTCAAGCACTGCTGAGATCTCTTATAACATTCACTGCAGAATCTCTCTTGGATGCCTTGCTTCTTTAATTGAGTTTTCAATTTTAGTGCCTATTCTGTGACTAATTTTTTGTGTGTCCACTTAATCTTAGAATGGCCAAACATATATTTTCTCTCCTTCGGCCACTCCTGCAGTCTCCTGAAAGTAATGGGGAGTTTTGGGAAATGCCATTCTGGTCTCAAGACTCAGTAAAGGGAAAACCCCAACTGCACCGCCACATGGTAGAGGATGGTAAACACACTGTGGTGTGGCCAGCGCAGCTATGGGGACCGAGTATCCGCCAGGATAAGTGGACACCTTTGGGGTGCCTCTCAGCTGTTAGCAGGAGCATCACAGAGCAGGGAACTCACTTGCCCTAGCAATCGAAAAGGTTGCTGAAGCTGAGGACGTAGTCTAAAGCCATGTGGATGTAGAAAGCAAGAGGAAACTACCACATTACTATCCCAAGAAACTTATCATGAGGCGGGAGAGCTGACAAGAGACCAAGTTTCGTTCAGGCAGACCGTGATGAGAGCGACGGTCTGCAAAGGAACTGATGGTCACTCCTGCAGCCTTGCTTAGAAACATAATTCTCACTTCCGTGGTTATTAATTTTTCATTTCTGGTTTCTTGTGAGTGACTACGTGTGGCACTGGTAGCACAGGAACTGAAAATATTGATGACACAAATGTCGACATCAATTTTACTCTTTAAAAATTCAACTATTACAACATAACAGTTGCCATGAAAACATTAGTCATTTCCTCTAAGAACAGTTTTACCAAAGAACATACAATAAGAACTGTTTTATCGAAGAACACACAGATAACAAGTTACTCTATGTTATCATAATCGATGTCACTTCCACTTCACACTGGGTTTTCCTTCGCATGCTCAGTCCTCCGAAGCAGTGCTCAAGTCACCTCTATTCTTCGTCCACTTCGCGTTCACCAGCTGTAAACTTTGGCAGAAAGTTCTGGTTGTCCATCCAGTTCTGAATGCAGTCCTGTTCCAGAACCTGAGTGTTGTGTGTGCATCTGTTTTACAGATTGGCTCATTTGTATGCAGACTGCTGGTTTCTTGCCTCTCAGGCAGATGCACTTCGACTTCGAAGAAAGCTCCCAATCAGTCAACTCATACAACATGCTTTTGGGTAGGCAGTGGGCCTATTCTAATAAAGCCCTGAAACCCACACAGGGATCACCTTTATTGATTGATAGACAACAAGTCTAAACCTTTACATCTAACAGCTTCAGCTTTCACTGCTTCCGGTCGCCCAGTGTTGCTAGTACCTACATGCCTCCTTCTAAACCAGAGATTTTCAAACCTTTTCAGGCTGTGCCCCCTTGAAGATATGGGATCCCCTCCCCTAGAACAAAGTGATTAAATAGAGCAGAACAAAAAGAAACATCCCAAGAACTATTAACAAGAACTTGGAGAAAAACATCCTCACAAATCAAAGTGTTTGTTTATTATAGTTTAAAAATAATATTTTATTTATAATTAAACTGAAGAAAAAATTGTATAGCAGATTATTACAAGTAAAAATGCACCCTCCTTGAAACTTCTTTGCATTTTCCCTGGTGAGGGAGTCTTCCCCCCCCCCCCCCCCCTTTTCCCACAGGTTGAAAATCACCCAATTAATTTTTTTTAAAATCACATTTCACTGAATGGAAACCAAAAAAAAAAAAAATTAAAAAAAAAAAAAAAAGTCCCTACCTAAGGTAAAAAGTAAACGCCCCTTTTCCACACCTTTAGGCATATTGGGTATATAGGGCTAGACCTATATTTTATAGAGCAATCAGCACTAGGTTGATGATGTAGTCAGCATCACGCCGGCCACCTTTACTTCCAAGGACTGCACCTGGAACCCACTCAAGGCTGGGTCATTTTTGAAAAAAGTCTGGGCTCCGCCAGGACCCAAACCTATGACCTTCCGATCTGCTGGCAGGCATCTAGCCGCCAACGCCATGGCGACTCCCCCTACCTAAGGTACACCAGGCATATGGTGCTAGTATCTTTTATTTTTATATACCATTTGGTACTTCACAAATGATGAGGCCAACATCGCCTTTTTTTTTTTACTAGGATAATTCCCAGTTTTATAGGCGGGACCAACCTGGAAGCCCAGGTTACATTAAAACCAAAATACACTTCAGTGGAAACAAACCTATGACTACAGACCTATTTTATCTATAGCCTATCTTTATGTCACTGTTGACACATAAGGCATTCACACAGGAATTGCTGCTGGCCTGCTGCTTTTCCATGCATGAGTTTATACTAAATGTCCTTCTGCAATCTTACACAGTTCCTCCACATTTCCTTTTCCCATCTGCCATCCACAGGAGAGTTGTCCTTGCTAAAGTATCACAAGGCATTCTGCAAAAAGCATCCAAGTCATCTCCATCTTCGTCCTTTAATAATCTTTGCCAGTGATGAACATCTGAACACCCTCAATGTTCCTCCTGAGCTAGCAGGTAATTTATTATACTAAGAGCAATTCTATCATTTGTAAGCTGACTATCATTACTTAAATAACAGTTAAGCACAGGTATTTGATCACACCTTACCTCTTGTTCATTACTAAGTCTGTCAGGAAGGTCATGTCTGAAACAGCAGAAAAATGTGAGATAGGATGAATATTAAGTTATTACAAGAGAAGAGCCGTACACCTGTTTGGGCAGTAATGTAGATAAAGATGGGGGAACTGATAGAGATATTAAAATAAGCATACAAAAAGCAAGAGAACCTTTCATAGCATTAGGGAATTTGTGGAGGTCAAAAGAAATTAAAAGAAATACTAAACTTAAAAATTTTTAATTCTTATGTAAAATCAGTACTTTTGTACTGAGCGGAAACATGAGAACAACTAAGGCAATTACTAATAAACTACAGGCATTCATTAACTGGTGCCTGCGCAGAATAAAGGGAATTAAATGGTATGATAGAATTACTAATGTAGAGCTTTGGGAGAGAACTAAGCAAGCTCTAGTGGACCAAAAGGTAAAGAAAAGACGCTGGCATTGGATAGGACACACATCGAGAAAACCGGAAAACAATATAACTAGAATGTCTTTGCACTGGAATCCATAAGGGCAAAGGAATAAAGGAAGACCAAAAAACACACGGAGAAGGGAGCTGGAGAAAGATTAGAAAGATGGGGAGGACATGGGGAGAGCTGCATGCAATAGCAAAAGATAGAACAGCTTGGGGTGAGTTGGCTGAGGGCCTATGCTCCATTGGGGGCTAGAAAGGCAGAAAAAAGAAGACAAGAGAAGATGAAGATCATTAATGAAACATGCTACTGTAGAAGTATGCAGTGTTTGGCTCTGACATACCGTATACTCATCATTATCATCATCATCATCATGTAGCAGGTCTTTTGCAGAACATCATTATGGCATGCTGAGAAGCCACTGGTTCCCAACCAACCTCCCGCCTGGTGAATCTTTATCAGGATGTATTCTGTGTCCATCATCATGCTGGTTGGCCTCTGCCTCTTCTTCCAAGAACCATACCCTCCATTACCTTTCTCTCCAAACCATTACAGCATTTATTATGACTGAAGTATTTCTGATTACACAAAATTATACCCTCTATGAGCCTGATCCACTTGATATTCAGATCTCAAAACAGGCTTCTTCTTCTTCTGTTTTTTCCCTTAAAAGAGTGACTGAAACATTGTGTTACTATTTACAACTAGGATGCAATATCTGCACTTTTTGGCTTATCCTATTAATATAAGAAAACCCCTAACTAGTCACCTTTCACAAATAAGGATGTTGGGGGTGTATACTCTGTTCCACCAAAATGGGGCTATAAAAGCCAGACGGGAAAAGACTTCATTAATTGTCCTCTGCTTGGTCCATGATACTCAAAGAATCTTTACTCTATGTTAGGTAATGGCATAAAGATATGAATGACCAGTTTCTGCATTAGCACTATACTGTTGCTCTGAAAGAATCACATCCTGACACTGCAATTATATCTCCATAAGTGGTCCAATCTAGTCAAATTTATCACACAAAGAGGATCTTAGTACGAGAATATCAATTTAATAATAATAGCAAGAAACCACTGTGTGTATATAAAGAACAACACAGGCTATGAATAATTTTTTTTTTTTTGGGTAAATAATTTATATAATTTCAAATGTTGCCAGCAGTAAATTTTTTTTTTAATGCTCATTTGGATTTTCAACAGCAGAAGGAACTTATGTTTTCCAACATTTAGTGTCCTTAATGTCACTGTAAAAACAGGTTTTTTAATAAATGTGTGCCACGTCATGATAATTTATGTATTTCATCATGTGATTTCAATATACAGCATTAATGTTTGGATAAACTTCAAAGCCTACTAAAAAAAATATTATAATATCACTAATATTTAATCAGCGATCAGTGAATTTCTGGACATCCTACAGACCATCCAAGCTTTATGCCCCTGCCTGAAAATACTAGACATCTGATTTTATACCCAAGGATCAGGATAACACAGACTTCAGACTTCCAACACACATTTGAAACAAAATATGCAAAGATGTAGGTAGGTAGTTGTACCCCACCAGGACATCACACAAGCGATAAACACCCGGTGACAAAAAGTGCCACAATGCAGATTAGGATCACTCGTGAAGAGGTCCCAGAAACCCCTTTCAGCTGCTATGGCCATATCTATGGCCCGGCTATATTCAGGGCCCCCGGGCAGAAGCCAGGGTGGCGCTTCAAGTAACAAAAAAATTGCATCCCACATTGGGATGACTTTTAACTATATATATATATATATATACAAAGACAATGAATTATTATAAAAATTGAAAGTCACAAATATTAGTTCACCAGAACAAAGATAGGGTTTAAGAAGAAAAAATCTTATTAAAATCAAACTAAAAAAAATGTCCCAGATAAAATAACAAACAAAACTGAACTTGGAAAAAGATTTAAAAAAAAAAAAGTAATTATGACGTACCCAAAAAGATACCAGTCATATCCTAGAGTTAAGTAAAGTATTTCTTTCTCTGACAACGAGCGATGGATGGCTCCATCTGCCCACAGGGACAGCCGCAGCAGAGAGATGAACAACGGGGTCCTGTCCCAGCCAGATATACAGTGAATCAGCAGACCTTTTGTTCCTAGTAGACAAACATGAGCAAGCAAATATTAAAGCAAACTGAAGGACATGGTATTAGCTCTGTATTTTTATTAAGCAATCTAGCAATCACCATATGTAGTTGTTAGTTTGGTGGAGGTGTAACTGTAGTTAATGCACAAAAGATTGTGTATATACATGATTTCCAAAGCCACCTGGCATAGGCTATTAAAAAAAAGAAGAGAGAACGATGACAACAAACAAATTTACATTCATACAAATCACTCAGCAATAAGTTGTGTGTGCGTGTCTGTGTGGAGAAGGGGTGCGGGAGGTGTCAAGAATTCACAGCTAACATGCCTAGAGATAAAAATACTGGCTGACCCAGATACCTACTTTCACTTGACCTCTGCTCCTTGACACCAAGCGCAAATGATAAACACAGGAAGATAAACAGGACAGCATTTTTTTTTTTAGATAAAGTGTTAATATAAACTGAGAAATAATATCATGATAGACAGCAGTGTCTAGACAGAACAGTTAAATGAAATGTGATGTTGGTGGGAGAGAAATATGTAGGTATAATCTTTATTCTTCTTCACGTTCACCGGCTGTAAACTCCGACGGAAAGTTCTGGTTGTTCATCTACCTCTGGACTTAAGACGTGTCCCTGCCCAGAGAGCATTCATATCTGTTTTACAGATCTGACTTATTTGTATGTAGACTGTTGGTTCCTTGCCTCTTTGGCAGATGTATTCCTACTCTAAAGGAAACTCCAATTAGCTGACTCTTACGACATGCTTTTTTTTTTGAAGGCTTTGGGTCTATTTTCATTTTTACCACAACAGGGCCCCAGGAACACATACAGGGAATAATCTTTATTATTAAAAAATATGGTGCCATCTCTACCATGCAGGCTGGCTAGAGTGTACTACTGCTATCTTTAGGAATATTAGATGGTGAGGACCCAATCTCGTCCCTGGTGTGGCTCTCATACAATAGCCTGAAAACAATAAGAATTTTTTTTTAAAGAGACAGAAAGACAATGGAAGACTATTATGAGCCTTCTGTCATGGCATGAAGAGGGTCAACACATGGAAAGATACATGCTGTTTAAGATCACAGATTATAGAGAGGCATAATTGCCCATGCCAGTTGGCAAGATACTTGATGATGATGAGCATAGACTGTTCCGTGGCAGTGAGGAAAGGGAAGGCAACTGAATGTAAAACTGCCTTAAAAAAACAAAAAAAAAACTCTCTGTGACAGAAATGCAACTAACTTTAGAAAAGTCAAGAAAATACCTTTTCTGATGTACTGTAACAACAACCTGAAGTAATTCTGTGTCAATTCTACTAGACTCCACTCCTGTAAAATTTCAATGAAAGCAATCAGACATGATCATCGGGACTAAATTCTCTCTCAACAGTAAATTATATGCATTTATAGGTATCAAACTTTCTCTTAGTAATAAATTAGATATGCGTATAGGTACTAAACTATCTCTCAATGATAAATCAGACATGATCACAGGTACTAAATTATCTGATAAATCAGACATTATCATAAGTACTAAATTATCTCTCAGTGATAAATTGGAAATGATCATAGATACTTAACTATCTCTCAGTGATAACTGGACGCAATCATAGGTACTAAATTATCTTTTAATGAAAGATATGATACGATCATAGATACTAAATTATCTCTCAATGATAAATTAGATACGATATTAGGTACTAAATTATCTCTCAATGATAAATTAGATACGATCATAGGTACTAAATTATCTCTCAATGATAAATCAGATACAATCATAGGTGCTAAATTATCTCTCAATGATAAATCAGATACGATCATAGGTACTAAATTATCTCTGAATGGTAAATCAGATACAATCATAGGTGCTAAATTATCTCTCAATGATAAATCAGATACGATCATAGGTACTAAAGTATCTCTCAATGATAAATCAGATACGATCATAGGGACTAAATTATCTCTCAATGTTAAATCAGACATAACCATAGGTTTTAAACTCTCATTAAATATTGAACAGAAAATACTTTTATTTTTGAGCTAAGCTACTTCAATATGAATAGCATTGGTGCATGCTGCACTGTGCCCTGCATGCACAACTTACTGTGTATTTAGACCAGTTTATATTCAGGTCCTCAACTAAAGGTGATTGTGGAAGATCTAAAGATGAATCATTAAGAGCCTGCAAAACAAAATGAAAGTGGTCACACTTAGGAGAAACATAAATGGAATTTTTTAAAAGTGTTAAACTGAATTATATACAAAAGAAGAAAACATTTGAAGTGTTTTTATAAGATGCTTTCTGCACATATATTTATGCACTCATCCAGATGCACGACACAGAAAAATATACATCAATCGTGTGTACATTTCTGGGGAAGCCCCCGTAAGTAGTGAAAATATAAACAAAGTTATGAGAGAAAAAAACCCAGAAAATGTTGCGACTGAACAGATTTATGAAAAGAGTGATAGAGGAACAAATGAATGAACTTTATTTTCAAAGGGTCATAAATTGGGACTCGAGGCCCGTCTTACATTCGGCCCTTCCAAACACATACCTCTCACACAGCAGTTGTATTTTTATCAACAAAGCATGTTTTGTTCATGTAATAATTTGCATATTATGAATACCAAGAAAAAGAGGAGGAGAGAAGATTCTTGACGTTTTTTTTTTATCAAGGCTTGAAACTATATCATAAGCACTCAAACGGATTTGCTGTCGGAGACAGTAAAATGCAGAAAAGCATGACTATCTATGGCAATCAGTGATGTACTTAATGATGATCATATTGCAAATGCTGACAATCACAAAGCAGTCCTGAAAAAAAAAGAGTCTAATCCTATCAGAACTTCACTACTCTTTTCTGAATCATAAACATCTATTTGCACTTCCGCACTGTTCACTGGTTCCCAAAAGACCATCACCACATCTAGCCTGTCATGCATCACTTTACCACCAAGGGGTGCAGAATCAGCCAATCTAACTGCCTGTTCATTTCCCAACACATGTGCACACCCAGAGAAAATATCCAAAGGACACTAACAACCGGGTACGTCTGGAGCCATGCTTGCCACTTTGCATTCAGCAATCCTGTCTCCCCTGCTCTCAGCATGTTTTGTGTGTCTGTTACAGTCAGGGTGTGTGTGTATGCAGCTAGCTCTCAAGGCAGTGAAAAGCTGCAGTGACTGCCTCCGCCTTCATCCTCAAACAAGATACTGGGGTATATAAGTGCCACAAATAGTTTATTACAAACTTTGAATGAAGAAACCACACAATATCTCACCTGTCCCCAGTCATACATGGTGGTTTCTGCCATATATGCATTGTCCTTCCAGTCTTTAAAGAATTCACATCCTTCGCATTTCAAGGAAGAACAAAGAAAAACATGATTAAATTTTAGAACACACTTTTTAACGTACTTCTGTATTAAATATTGGCTCTATGTAAAGTGAATTAAATATAGATAATTTACAGATACTCACAAACAAAGACCCTGCACACACAAAATATTATATTTAAGAATACTTTTTTCTAAACATACTTCTGTATTACAAAATAGTTTTTAAAAAAAATGATCCCTTTTTACGCCTTTTAGGCGCATCGGGCATATGGGAAGAGCATCCATATTTTTACAGACCAATCGGCACTAGGTGGATAATGTGGTCAGCATTACGCTGGCCATTTTTACTTCCCCAGGACAGCCATCCTGGTACCCATTTTAGACTGGGCCGACCTGCAATGCCCCATACCATGATAAAAATCCACGAAGCCAGCAGTCGTAAAGCGAAAACAGAATTAAATGTAGATAATTTACAGACACTCAGAAACAAAGACCTAGCCAACAAAACAAACAAAAAATAGTTCGTTATAAAATGTTAGGGTAAAATGCTAATGGTCTAAAGAGGACAAACACAGCAAATACAGACAAACAAAAAAAAACACCCACAGAATAAAAGAGTTCATACCTGGATATGGCATGCACAGTATAGAAAATTCAGAATATCGGTTTTCTTTATCCACCTTTTCTGATGATGAAATCCTGGAAAATAATGAGAGGTGCATAATGAACCGACAGTTTTGTAAACTACACAGAAAAGATCACATTAAGCACTGATTACAGTTTTGCTGGGACAACACATTTGGCAAATTAACTACTGCTTCATTATCAATGGAAAAGTCATTGACAGAACATCCCCCTCGTCACGGCACGCCTGAAAGTCTCTCTTTCTCTAGCCAATTCTCCAGCCCTATATGCTTTCATAGCCTATGCATCTTCCATGTCTTGTATCCACTTTCATAGAGGTCTACCTCTGCCTCCTTTTCCAGAAAGTGTACCCTCTATCAACATTCTTTCCAGGCCACCATGATGTTTAACATGGCCAAAATACCTCCATTTTCGGGACATGATGCTGTTTATGAGCCAAGTCTCCTAAATGCTCTGATCATGTAGGATGTCGGGCCTTTTCTTCTTGGTGCATGGTATTCTAAGAATTTTCTGTAGCATTTCAGCTCTGATTTTTCTTCATTGATTGAGTAAGAGTCCATGACTCACACCCATAAGATGCCATGGGAAAAATTCATGATCTCAAAATGTTTACTTCAACTCAGTGGCACATGCTGTTAACTATTGCTTAGCAGAAAAATAACGATTTTGGCAGCATAAGGATATGGAAACATACAATGAAATTTAAAAAAAAGTTAAAGTATCTTTGCTGGATACAACTGTTGGGCAAGTAAAATAAAAGTCGGGTCTTCACATATTCTCATCCTCATTATATGACCAGACCTGCTAAGAAGCATATACAATCATGTTTTGCTATCCCATAAGATGACAAGAATTATGGATCTGTGCTCTTGACTCATTCCATCACGGCCAAGCCATCCAGGTATTAATCTCTGTCCTATTCCTTGCTGTTTCCATCGATATTGCCAATTCTCTAGTCCATTACTTCTTTTTGAAGCTTAGATGCAGTGGATTGTACGGCTGCATGCCTATGTTTGTTTAGATGGTCAAGTACTGTATCCTGGTCTTCTTTTGGTCCCCCCCTCTACTGAGCAGTGCACTATTGTTTTTGGGAGGCTGTTAAGTAACACACTTAGTATTGTTTTTTAGAGGCTGTTTTCAAAAAAAAATATATATATATATATATATATATATAAAAAAGTCTACATCTTGCTTCTCTGATCAGTAATGCAGACACAGATCACCCTTTGCACTAAGCTCTGGGCGCAGTAAAAGGTCAGCGGCTGATAAGGGGAAAGTCATGGATGGCTCAGGCAGAAGACGCATTCAGACAGGTCTGCATCCTGAAGAACATTAGGCGAGTGAAGGAGTGGGTCAAGGTGCCAGCTAAACAGTCAGACTTGTGTAGAGTCATAATCACATCGAGCCGGGAATGCAGAGACTGGCCAGTAGGTGCCACAGAGGTGGAAATTCAGCAATCAATTTAAGATAATGCTCGCTCAGAGGATGTGATTATTAAACAGAAGGTTTAGTGTCAAGAGGCAAAAGAAGTGCTTGGGGTTTCTTAGCAAAAGTTAATGTTTGACGTTTGGCGCAGGAGAGCCTAGCGTATGATACCACAACATCCAGCTTAAGAATGGAAGTGGAGGCGGTCACTGCAGCTTTCCGCTTGTTAAAGAACACAGCACACACACACATCATGATTGTAACTGACTCAGAAAGCATGCTGAGGATAGTCAGGACAGACAAGCTTCATGTTATTTTTTAATTCTTTTTTTTTAAATATCCAGAAATCATGAGTTGTAAACCCTTTGGCTCGTTGTTATGGATATCACAACCCTTCAGCCTTGATTCTATAATAGGTACCGTGAATCTGGGAGGAATTTTGCTTTTCTGCCTACCCCAGGGTAGTGTACCCAAACCACAAGGAGTTCCACCGGTCACAGCAAAGTCAGGATTAACCAACTACGCCAGTCGTGCATAGCGGCATGCTTCATTGCGGAGGACACAAGTGAGGAGCATTGTCTGGATTTTTCTCTGGGAAACTGTGTGTTGGGAAATGAACAGATGGACAGACTGGCTGGCTCTGCACATCTTGGTGGAATACTGATGCAAGACAAGGCTGACATAGTTGGGGCCTTGTGGAAAAGCCTGTACAGTTCGGAGGAGCAGATGATCACCACAGCCTGGTGAGATTGATGCAGCGGGGATTGACGAGGGGTTCTGGCCGATGCTCGAGGCTCAGAGCAGAGGCGATTTGGACGTTTAATCAGAATGCTGCGGGCCCCATTAGTATAGGATTTCCAATCTTGAATCAACTCAACTCAACATCAGTACTGTAGTCACTTTTCTCAATGAGAAATAAGGACCACAAGCAAACAGAGAAACATCTCTCAGGTTTTCATTTATACTTACGGCATTCCAAACTTGGTCTTCTTCTTCTCCACCATCAAATCACAAATGTACCCGACATCAAAATACTTCAGCAGCTGGATGTCGTGACCACGAAATTTGTCAAACATGTCTGATGCTCTACAAACAGAATCAACATTTTCAGAGTAATAAAAAAGCCATGTTTTCATTGTGACAAACTGACAGATAATTCAAGTGGAACCTGGTGAAAAATAACTGTAAAAGTGTAGATCTAGAAGGCCAGTGTTTGTTTCTAATCTGGAGGTCCTCGGATCAAGTTTAAGATGATAGACAATGATACAAGTGAGAGGATAGCATCAAGAGATGGATGAACAGCAGTCTCAGAGAGTGTAAAATAAAGACAAGAAACAGAGCATGTTAGAGATGCACTACTACCTGGTGGTCCACGGCAGCAGAAGAAGAAACATAAGAAAAAAAAAGAAAAAAAAGGAGGAGGAGGAGGATGAAGAAGAGAAGTAGAGGAAGAAGAAGAAAATCGATTTCTTGAAAAACTGCCTTATTTGATTCTATCATATTTTGGTTAGTCTCTAATTACTTCCAGTGTCTGTGACAGTTAGTAGACAAGAGGAGTCTGGAAGACAGCTTGTTAAAAAGCATCTAAAACTAATAAATACACAGCTATGCACAAGCAGGAAGAATCATGGCAGAATAGTAGATACATGTAAAACAAAGTGGCTACTGAAGCTATAACTGTCCATACTCAAGTACACTTTCAAAGTTTCCTGCTCAATGTTCATTTTTGAGATCACAGTCATCGCACATCAGACATGACTACAAGTGCTCCGATCTCCTGAGTATGTCTCCCAGTGTTTTTAGGCTAAAAACTCCCATTTGTTATGGTTGAGGTAAAGGTAGGTGGCTACTGCATTGTTTTCCTGTAACTCTGCTCCTACTGGTATGCAGGGTATGCTATCTATTCAGTGAAAAATCACAAACCAAACAGCATTTAGTCTCTCATATGGCATTGATGATGTCTCTCCTGTTCACAAAGGGCCCATTCCTGACAGTTGCACTAAGACCCAAAGCGTCTGCTCTCTCATTGCCTTTCCCACCAGCATATCTTGGGACAAAAATGAAAGTGCTGTATTAGAGGGAGCCACTGTTTTTGAAGTAAGATGGGGCACTTGTGGGAAAACCTCAAGTGTGGTGACGTCATTGTTAACAAAATTCCAACCAACTTTTCCACAAGGAAAGAAACATATGTCATATTTACACATCTACATAAGCTTCAATTGATACAGTTTTCTTGAATTTAAACCTTACCCTACATCTTGCATGCCGACATTTTGATCTGAAAAAAAAGAAAATACAGCACAATTAAGAACATAAAAATTCATTTTACAATCGCATTATTAACGTCTCTGCATTCTGTGGCTGTAATCTCCTAGAGAATCTTCTGATTGTTCATCTACTGCTGAACTTTAAGTCATGTTCCAGAACTTAAGTTTTGCATGCACATCCATTTAACAGATCTTACTTATTTATGCAGACTGTTGGGCCCTCACCTATCAGACAGATGCACTCAGATTTTAAAGTAAATACCATAAATCAGTCAACTTGTATGGCATTCTGGTTAAGGGGGCAGTGGGCCTCTTCTTTGTTTAACCCAAATAGGGCCACATGCGAGCATTATTAACTCTTTCCCAGCTACCACAATAACAGTCAGGAAAGGGAAGAGCAGAAGTTACAATATCTGAGTGTCTGGAGCTCACCTGGTTGGCTTCTTGGTAGTGACTGTTTTGGATTGAAATCAAAGTTTGATTACTTATTACTGGTTTAATAATCAACATCATGGCATGTACAGAGTATATCCATAGATGCTCCGTCGCATGTAGCAAATGTCTTTCACTTATACGTTCTTCCTTCTAGTCCACAATTAATTCATGCTACCTTTAAGTATAGCTTATTGCGTATTCTTTACAGGACGTTGCAGAACCAACCCCAACATTTATTTTTGCTGTTGTGGTTTTTCTAGGCACAATTTACGTTAAGTAGTTTGTCACTGCTAGTGAACGGTCAGGTCTCAGTACCAGTGTCAAAACCAATGCAAGACAAACTGTCCGCAGCAGGGATTGAACCTGGCACCCTGGCATCACGAAGCATGTTCGCAACACCTAAGCCACATACATATAATTTAACACTGTATCTTCCAGCGGTATGTATTCAACACAGGGCTTCAGAATGTCTGCCTTGTCCAACACCAGTGTTATAAAAGTATAACAGATGATATTGGTCAAGGCAGCCATTAGCACAACTGGACCACGTCCTAACTAAAACACAATTCCAAAGACTCAAGAAATTCAAACAAAAGAAATACACCACTATATTTTAGACCGTGAACTGGACACAACAGATCTCAAAGACTGAAGACTGAGAACTTTCCACATTTGGACAGGCAGCCTAGAATAGTGAACACTAGCTGTAAACATGCTCTCTACATGCAGTAGAAAGATTGTGGGTCTGGCCAGTTAGCATTCTGACGAAAAACCAAGCTGTATGGATCAGTGGAGGACACGCTGGCACAAGAGCTTTCCTAGAAGCATGTAGTCTCCTCAACTGAAAACAACTGGCAGTGACAATGTAAAGAAGATGAATGAAAAAAAAAGAAAAAAAAACAGAAACAACCTACTTGACAGCAGGTAGTCAGTTGTAGATCTTCCAAACATTTCAGCAGCTCCTGACAGAGTTGCTGATCGACAGATATGCTGAAAGAAGTGAAAAGCATTTGGTTTTTTTCTTCAAAAATTCAATAAATCAGATAAAATTAAATAGAAAGCTATGGGATAAGCAGAAAACAAACAGTCAAGGGGAAAAGTTGCATACTTGTGTACACACACAGGTTTACTTATGTATACATGTGTGCTAAGCATTACCATGTTGATGATAAGAATAACATAGGAAGTGAAAGAGACTGAGAGAAAGGATATAGGAATGAAACCGAAAGAATGCAGAAATAATTATGCACACAATTGTACACTTTATTTTCAAAGGGTCACAAACTGGGCACCTAGGCCCACCTTACATCTATCAATTTCAAGTATTTCCCACTCACACTACAACTGAATTCCATCTAGAAATATGTTAATACAGCAGTATACATAATATTAAGAGCAACTAAAAACAAAAGCATATATATGCACATGCATGTTCATTCATACACATTCCTGCATACACATTTATTCATACACATACATTCAAAAACATACATATGTACACGCATTCAAACATACAGAAACACTCATACATTCATACATACACGCACTAATATTATAGGTTGATACACATACTTCTTCTTCTTATTCAGCATTCCGAGCCCTTGAAGTTCATTGTGCAGATATCACCCACTTCCTTTCATCTCTCTGGTTGGTCTTCTCTTTCCAGTTGCTGACACCGAGTGTTTGCAGGTCTCTCTGGACATTATCTTTCCATTATCTTTTTGATCTGCCTCGTGGTCTATGACCATTTATCTCCCTTGTGTATACCGTTTTTACTTCTCTGTCATCTGACATTCTTTCAATATGCCTCAAACCATTTCAGTCAATTAGCTCTCATGATGCCAGTGATCAATAGTGATTTAAACAGATTATGAATTTTGTTAATGCTTCTCACTCTCCATTCCCCGCTGTTTGCATCTTTGATGGGTCCAAAGATTCGTTGTAAGACTCTGTTTTCGAAAACCTGTAATAAGGCTTTATCTCTTTTAGCTGTGCTCCAAGTTTCAGAGCCATATAAAACAGTCTTATCAACGTTTCATATATTTTGATCTTGGTGTTGTGAGACAGACACGTCAACTTTAGCAGATGATGAAGGGTAGAGTATACTTTATTTCCAGATTGTATTCTAGATTGTATTTCTTCTCTTAGCATGTTAGAGCAGTTTAAGTGTGCACTAAAGTACTTATATGTTTCCATTCGTTTGATTTTCATATTACTGACTTGTATATGGCCAGAGTTTATATCCTTTCCCTGTCTATTTATTATCATTTATTCGGTCTTATCTTGATTAATTGATAACTAGTCCCATTTTATGAGCTGATTCTTCTAAAAGAGTCAGTGTTTTAACATTCTCTAGTTCATTTTCTCCAAAGGTAAATATACAAACTCATGTATCCATGTTCATACTCATATGCTACTAGTTCATATACATATGCAGACATACACTCACACACACATTTATGCCCACTCATACTTTCACATGCATACACATATGTGCAAACATATACAGACAAACCCAAACAAACACATACTTGTTCACATACATGCACTTATACATCCACATACAAACACACATACTCACACTCAAACATACACATAATACAATCATACACACATACTTACATTCACATACCTTACTACACCCACACAAATCCACTCACACCCATACATACATACACACTTGCATACCTACAAACCACACCTGCATACTTATATATATATATATATATATATATATATATATATATATATATATATATATGTAAAAAAAAAATATATATATATATATATATATATATATATATATACATATATATAAAACACACACAACCATATATCATAAAGAAAGAATAGTAATGATGAAATTAAGTGACTTTATGGTGACATAATCCCTTTTAAGCATGAATTGGAACAGCAAGCTAACAGTAGGATGACAACAAGATAAAATAAGGAAAAGACAAAAACAAAGGCAGCTAAACAAAATAAGTTATAGGTATATACTTTTGTTTTTTTTAACTTACAAATGTTATTTCAACCCACCCTGTATGAACAGTTTCTATAACTTCTTTTACTGTTGAATTACCTTCACTCTTTTAATGAAAGACAAAAAAAAGTGCCATTCAGGACAGAATTTTCTCAGCACATCTTTGTGTATCTTTCTACATGCAGGTTTATTTTGTATGCCACTTTTTCTGCCTTCTATCTTCCAAAAAAGCATAAGCTTTTAAACCAAGCTTCTTCTTCTTCTTCTTCTTCTGTGTTCCATCTCCCAATGTAGTACAGGCTTTGAAGCAACACAAACCAAGCTTCTTCTGTTTTCACCTTTAATGGGGTGGTTGGCATGCTGTGTGGCTTATAGCTATGCTGCGATATCCGTACCTTTTGGCCCAACACGTCCAGTTTCACCAAAAACCTTTATTAGTCATTTTTTATGACATGCTCGCTAAAGGTCATAGGTCTATCCCCCTTTTCCACCCAAAGGCAGCCCTGAAACCCACACAGGGAATACCATGCCATTTTAAAATATGTTTATAACTTGCTACCTTTTGCAGCTATACTTTTGTTTAATGAGATAAGGTAGCCGCTGGTATGCCGGTTGTGTGTGTTTCCCTCTTCTGTAGTGCAGGTTACAGTGTTTCTATTTTTTGCTTACTTTAGAGGCTCCTGTAACAAACAGGCTTTACTGTGTATTAGTGAAGCAAAACTTAGGCAAATGTACTGAATATATTCCAGTCAAATTATCTGTCTTTAGTAAAATACTACTAACAAAAGAATGTCACAGAGAGAGAGAGAGAGAGAGAGAGAGAGAGAGAGAGAGAGAGAGAGAGAGAGAGAGAGAGAGAGAGAGAGAGAGATTAGGATGAAAACTGTGTAATTTTACTTGTGTAAACAAGAAGGGTTAGTAAAAACATAACAAATGGCCTACATTATAAATAAAATAAATTAATTTTACATTAAGAAGGGACCTTAACTATATATGTAAAACAGACTAACCTTTCCTTGGTATAAAATTACTGGAACAACAAATCTTGATCTGCATCGAGCACACCTGGCATTCTTCATTTTCTGCATGACTATTAGAGGGTCATAACGACTTTCAACACTGAAATGACCAAAGCATAAGTTTAATTTATAGGACAGGTCAAAATGGCATTTTACCAAATGAAGAACATTTTATGCAATAAATCCATATCATTGGAGGTGAGGAAAAGAATCCTTGCAAGCCCTAAAGAGACAATTTTATGATATGGCTGTGAATCCTGGTCAATTAATAAACAGCCAAATAATTTCTTGAGGCCTTGGAGACATGGTTTTTACTGAATAATCCTTGGAATTCCCTTGACAGCCAAAAAGAGAAACTGGCTCAAAGACTACTTATCACAAACATCAAAAAAAGACAGTCATCACTTTTGGTCATGTTATGAGAAGAAGGAAACTGGAAGATTCTTGATAGTCTTTTGTCATGGATGGAGGGTTGTCAACACATCAACTGATACATGCAGTAGCAGATGGCAGATTGTGGAGAGGCATGACTGTCTATGCCAGTCAGCTAAGCATTAGAGGATGAATGAAATAATCATCATATTGTGCCATTTATATGTGACATAAATCTAACAACTAGTTCCTCCATACAATTCTGTCCTGTGTAACCGTCATGATATTATGTATGAAACTGAGTTTGGTGCCTCTGGTATCTCTTATCAATGTTTGTTGTAGGGTTTCTTTTTTGTCTTCCCTGCTTCTTCTGTCCATTTGTTTCTCATTTCATGACTGTTTTGTGATTCTTTGTCCACTTCAACTCAGAATGTGCCAGCTTTTCCTCTTATAAATGTTGATAACATTTTGCTGATTTCTTGAATTCATAAATGTTCTGAGGCATTTGTTTTCAAATGCATTTAATTTTCATTCTATGATTTTTTTGTTTAGTGATTCTCCAACCTTCAATGACATCATAAAATTTAAATAACATTAGAAATCAAAATAATTAATTTGATTTTTAAATGGTATTACTGAGAGTTCCGTAAGCTATCACACTTGCAATAAAACAAAACTAAAATCACGCTGGATTGTCTGCAAAATTTAGGAAAACACAAGATAAGAAGACTTACTAATAGGAGAAGAGTAAACTTCTACTAAAGAGAAAGCAATATGTGGAGAAAATAAAATCAGGAATAACATTTCTGTGTTGATTTACTATTCTTCTTTGGCTACCTATATAGTGATCATATCTGGCAACACCTCTTTTGACATGAAGAAGTTGTAACTTGTCAAGACTGTTGATTCATCGTCTTCTGCTGAATTATCTATTCGTTCTGTTTCCTTGAGAGGATCAGCCTGGTTCAATGCTTTTCCTGTGCCTACTTTGGCCCTGCCAACAAGCCAGTCCACTTGTCCATTCCCTCTTACTCCAGACATTTCTGACACAAAAATGAAACTGATTCATGTCTGACAAGACTTCCTCAGGGACTACTACCACTGCCCTTGAACCCATCCATCGATCTTATGAAGCATGTTCATGGAAGAATCAAAATGACTAGACAAGTAAAAAACAATTAAACAAACTAGCTCTCCCACACAAGTGAAACTAAATGTAAACCAGCTTACTTTTCAGCAATGCAATGTGTGTCCCTTTCAAACTCTGTAATTATCAGTTTCATAGGATAGTGACCACACAGCTCTCCATTCAGGTTTGGAACCACCTTGAACATTAATGTTGTAACAGACATTCAACAATACTGTAAACTTACAAACCAATTAACTTAACAATAAAACCAAAACAGATAAATAGCTGAATTTACAGACGCATGACCCACACACACACAAATGAAGATCCTTCAGACATTTAACACACTGAGATCCCCAAAAACTCAATAAAATGGAAATACTTTATTAGCTGCAGATAAAATACGCACTCATTTATACTGAATGACCAAATCAACTCAGTGTACTATTAGTAAATTGTGTATATTTTACATAACTTTGCAGAACCTTAACTACAATTTATTTGGCTGCTTAGTTGTACTAGGCAATTTAATGCTGAGTAGTCTGCCATTGCTTCTGAACAGTCTGGGCTCGACACGATTGTAAAAATCAATGTAAAGCAGTCTGCTGCCAAACTGCCGGCAGCCAATATTACCATGATCATAATGCATAAACCACATATCCAACTAGTGTACTCTGCACCAACTGAAATAGCTAACAAAATTAACTCCAATTATAGTAGCTCCGTTAGTGGAACTCTAAAAGTCATGACAGTTTACATTCTAATCCTCACCGATCACATGCTGACTGACCTATAAACTATGCGGCTAGTGCAGCATGCTCAATTCATTTCATGGTGTAGAAATAAGTCTTTGACATGCTACTAATTTTAATCAAATATTTATACAAGTCAGCTTGTGTGTTAGCGGGGCCCTCATAGGAAGCTAAGAATAGTACCACTGCATCCTACCAGGTAAAGTCGGGAGATGTGAACCAACGCCTTTACACATGGTTACAAACCATAAGTGCTTTGCCACCAGTACGGATAGCTGATAATAAACTGTCTGCCTGTGTCGGCGTCCGACCGATGCTCCTTAGCTACAATGATATTCTTCCATTTACCCCAGAGTGTTAACTCTGGTACTCATTTCCTAGAGGCTGGACGAACCCCAGGAACCGTCCAGTTTTGAACACCGGCTGCAGCGAGTCCCAGCTAGATTTGAAAGCAAGTCTCTTATTTACTGTGCTATTGCGGCCACTCTTAGAGGTGACTAAAAGTAAGGTTGGGCATGGGGTTGACTACCTCATTCTATAAAAATAATATCTACAAATACCAACCAATCATGGAAAAGTCCAAGACAGAGGAGAAGTATTACCCAGCTAACCATGATGGTTGGAAGGCCCTTTCAATGACATAATGATGACACAGTGCTGAGAAAGTTAAAAGGAGTCTGGATCACCCAGGAAAACCTCCATAACTGGCAACTGGAATGTAGATCATTGTATGATGTGGGAAAGGTAACATAGGTAGTCTTCTACTTCTTCTTAGCATTTACTGCCTATAAACTCTGGCAGAAAGTCTTGGTTGCTCATTTACTCCTGGGCTTTGGTCCTCATTCAGAACCTGAGCTTTGCATGCACATCCATTTTACAGAACTGCTTTATCTGTATGCAGTCTGCTAGCTCCATGCCTCTCAGACAGATGCACTCTGACTTTGAATGAAACACTCCTAATTAATCACCTTCTATGACATGTCTGTTAGGGAGGCAGTGGGTCCGTTCTTTGTTCTCCAAAATGGAGCTCTAGAGTGCAGACGGGGAAACAAAGGTAGTAAGAAAACAAAAACATATAAGGAAGGGAACTAGAGAGTGAAGTTAAAAAGATGGGGAGGACAATGGGTGAGCTGCATGCAAGAGCAAAGAATATGGTGATTTGGCGTGAGCAGGTTGAGGATCTCTGATCCAATGGGAGGTAACAAGGGTATAAGAAAAAGAATATTTACACAAGTCACTCCTAGTAATCTAGATGTTGACAGGTGGTGGAATTATCAGCCATCAGTTGATATGAAATGTTTTTTTTTTAAATTAAGTATGACAAAATCTTGATGTATAACGAATATATACAGTAAATTTTGGAATGTGAGCAAACAAATTAAGAAGAGTTTGGAGGCAACTGAGATGTGGTTCTTGAGAAAAATGTTGGGAATACCTTGGACTGCCAGAATAACTAACAATGATTGCCTGGAAATGGCTAATGAAAGTAGAACATTATATACAATAATGAGGTGACAAACAAAGAACAAAAGAAAAGGAGCAATGGAAAATTTTGTGACAACTGGAAAGAACACTTGTAGAAGAGACAGAGGCAGACCAAGAGAAATGATGGTGGATGGCTTAAGGCAGTGGCATGGAGGAATTATCATCAGTGGAATTGATCCAGAAGACCAAAGACAGAGATCTATGGAGATGCATGATTATCTACACCATCTGGCAAGGGATTTGAAGATAATGATAATGAGTATATGGTGCCAGTTACCTGATTTTATAAAACAATATATATATAATATATACTTAATGGGTTGCAGAAGTTAAGAGTGGGGGGTGGGGGAGGAGGGTTTAATAGTCAATATCACACTGGATACCTTTATTCTCCAAAATATTTTTTACACATTTTAGACAGGGTCAGCTCATGTAAAGTTTAAACCATTTCACTATCAATAAATTCACGATGTGTGTACCTGTTACACCTAAATGTATATGCTATTTCATCAGGGTTAAATTATTCATCATGATATTAAATAAACCACTTCCATCTCAATTTTTACTTCAACTCTTGTCTTATAGTGTTACTATGTGAACATTTTCAGATCCAGATAGGTTACACTTTAGCTAGCAAATTATTGGTGCATTGCTAGATTACTTAGATTAAGACTCGTTTAAGAAATACCCACTTGGTGCTGACAGAGTTAAAAGCCCTCACCTCAGATGAAACGTTGTTGTTGTTGTTATTGATCCAGCGGTGCATGAGCTTTCGCCCTTTGGCCCAATGCCATGTAGTGGAATTTACATGTTTTCACGAGCTGTTCTTTTCCTCTGTACAAGGTGTTCCACCTGTCTGGTCTCGGAAGGAGTAGCATTCTTCTAGTCTCGTTGAGTTTTTGGCACTCAAAGAGATGATGGTCAACAGTTTCGTAGGAGTAGTTACATAGCTGGCACTCTGGGGAGTGTTGTGGCTGTATTCTGTTTAGGTGTCCATTGAGTGGAGTATGTTTGGTTCTGAGTCTGAAGATGGTGGCCTGGTCCCTTCTTGTTAAATGGTTAATGCTGTCGTTAGGATCAGGGCTAGCCATATGTCTATAAACCTCTCTTCCAGTATCTCCCATGGCCCTTCTGTTCAGCCAAGTCTCTTTGTTAATAGCTTTTATAAGTGTTTTTGCTGTCTGTAGGGTTGTCGCTGTAGGTGGTTGTTCTTGTGATGAAACATTTAAACATCACCACTAGGTCAGCAAAAAAGCATGCTTGCCAATGCATTACAACAGTTGCCCTTATTTGATTTTATTAGGCAAAAAGGAATGCAGACTTACTGTGTATTTGTAGTCCTTTCCAATCAGCAGCATACACTGTTCCATAATTGTTTCCCCCTGAAACATTCAGTCTACATGTAACTGGCATGAGCATGTTATAATATTTATTACTGTCATTCTTAAATTACTTCACAAAAATTACCGGATGCAATTTCAGAATGTTCAGTTCTGGCCAAGAGAAACATTGCAAGTCAAACTTTAAGGGTCGCTGAGTGAATTACAAAAGACAGTGAAGTTCATACTAGAGACATCATTGCAGATATAGATAATTTATTTCAAGCCAACAAAGAAGAAGAAGAAGAATTTTCAATGTTGAAGTTGACTATTTTACATGCTTTATAACATACAAGGTAAAAACATTAAGCAACTAATCTATCTCCAACAGTGTGGAGGAAATATTCATTATTTTGTATTATTAGTATCAATATTCTCACCTTTTACTCCTTGTTTTCTTAAATAAATATCAGTTTCTAGTATTATGTAAAAATAAAAATAAAATAAGAAAATATATGGAAGGTTGAGGTGGCAAGGGCAGATAATCCTCACCCAAACAATCAATGCATGACACTTGAATAGAAGTTCCAAACTGTCATCATCTATAAAGCTGAATATGTCAAACAATGAATTTGTATGACAGAATAAGTAATGTAGAGCTTTGGGAGAGAACTAGACAAGTTCCAGTGGACCAAGAGGTGAAGACAAGATGCTGGCATTGAATAGGAATTATTTATTTATGTGACACTGAATATGACACATGTTGAGAAAAGCTGAGAACAATATTGCTAGAATGTCTTTGCACTGGAATCAACAGGGGCACAGAGAAAAAAGGAAGACCAGAAAACACATGGAGAAGAGAACTAGAGCGTGAAGTTTTAAAGACTGTGTGAAGACATGGATAGAGCTGTGTGCAATAGCAAAGAGAATGACTTGGTATGAGCTGGTTGAGGGCCCATGCTTCATTTGAGGATAGAATGCAAATGAAGGTCAAATAAAAACTGATAGTGATGTTTGTACCTGTATATATTCTTAATATTTCTTTCTGAACAACACATCTTCTGCGTATTTAACAAAAAAAGAAAGGTGTCTGCAATATGACATAAGACAGAATTCCTTAAATCTTTTTTATCAGTAAGTAAATTAGTAAACAGATTATTATTTATTGAAACTTGTACAGAAAAGAAACTTTGACTTTTCTGTTAAGTGACATTCTTCTTCTTCTTCGTTCACCGGCTGTGAATTCCAGTGGAAGGTGCCGGTGAATCATCCACTTGAACTTTTGGCTTTTACCTGGACCTGAGTTTTGCGTGTACAACTGTTTTACTGGCTTTTGCTGTTCCCTGCCTCACGGGCAGATGTAGTCCGACTTCGAGGGAAGACGTCAGGCCTACTTCTAGCATGACTGTGGCCACTGTTTTGTGTGGGTCGAGATGTTACCTCTTTGTCCCTTTCTCCACAGGTGTTGCCCCCGGAGTACCCCCTTAGGGGCAGCTCTGCATGGAACGGTTAGCCCTCCAGGAAAGGCAGGGGCAGAAAATGGGCATTCCCCGCCATCCAGGGAGGCTTCCATAAATGCAGAGCTGACAAACAACGCTCTGGTTCTAGGCTCACCCAAGGAATCGACACGTCCTGCACATAAATGCTTAACCTCACATCCGTATTAGGCTTCCCGCTCGACACGGGCTGCCCCCTCCAGAGATCAGCGGGGAGCAGCCCGTGGGTTCTGAACTTTTGTGATCACACGAATAGGTACAATCTTTTTCATCGCACGATTGTCATCTTTAACGTGCTGTTAGGACAGAATGGAGAATCCTGCGTCAGGTATGTCTTTATCAGTTTGGTCCCAACACTCGGGCGAGTGGGATCTCGGGATGTGGACACTTGGACTTTTCCCCAGTCAATACGGATTTTTAGCTTGCGCGTGTGCCGTAGGATCTATTTTTGTCAGACATTAGGGCTTAACCAGCCAATGGATGGTTGCTGTCTTGGTGTACCTCAGCGCGGTGGCGACGACACTGAGGGTTGATGGAGGATGTACATGGGTAGAATCATGCTGCGAGACACCACCCACAGGAGATGTAACTCGTCTGTGCTGTGGGTAAATCTCTAGGTCAACGGTTGAGTCTCAGTAGCACAATGTTCTCTTCACTTCACAAACTTTTAACCGAGGGTTGTCATTTTAGTTGTACATTTGGCAAGCATTTTACTCATGTTCCTAATGAGTTTTGATAAGCTTTTTCACTCATACGTTTGGGGGCAGGCTGATGAGAGCCACAAGGACACTACACCTCTGGGGGCCGCCAACTCCGAGATCCCCTGACAGCTCTGTTAACGCTCATTTCAGACATTATCCGTGGTGCATGATGAGGACGTGCTGCAGGAGTCTTGCGCCAAGTTCCGTAAAACCAGAACAGTGCAGGTCTGGCCCCCGAGTGATGTACAGATTAACTCGTTATACACATCACATTGGACTTAACTTTACCTCACTCCTGTGACATAAATCACCGCCCCACTTAAGTGACATTGATTTCTATCATCAAAATAACATCATTAAAAAAAACTGACTTAATTAAACTACTTAACATTTGCCTTTACAAATCAATGAAGCTAGTTAGTTAGTCGACAGATTATCCTCATTGCATGTTGAACCACTGAGTCCATAAGGGCTTGGATCCCCTCTTCAGTAAATCCTGCAGCCTGAGCATGCAGTGGCTGATGACCAGTTCTGTGTTGATTTATTATTCTTTTTCGGCTACCTGTGTAGTGTTCCTGTTTGGCGATACCCCCAGTTTAACTTGCTGTTCTCGCAGTCTTGGTTGCAGATTCACAGTTCACACAAACATCTTAAATCTTGTAGAGCAAATGAAACTTTGGCTCCCTCCTAATTAAGTTGTACTGTTCTTTCTTATCACCCCCCCCCCCCCCCCCCCCATTTCGTATTTAATTAGGAAATTGTGAATGAGAATCAGAATGAATGAAAGTAAACGAGACCGAAGTCACGAAGTAAAGTAAACGGTAAACGACGCATGAGGCAGCAAAGCTACAATCCTCACTTTGACATCTGAACTTTTAACACGATGGCTCGTCTTCACAAAGTGGCTCAGCAGCCTTGAAATATCATCAGCTGCTACGATTTCATCGCTTTTCTCGCTATCCATCGTGCCTCCGCTGTGTTCACTCATCATCTAACAAGTGATCAGGTTGGTAGTCTGCTGACGAGGTCGCCTGCTTCCTAGTGGTTTGTTTTTTAGTAATTATCTCCCTTGAACTCATGTAAAACACTGATCGGAGTTCACTGTGACATGAAAAGATGCACTGTGGACTGTGACTGACTGTGAGGTTATTCGAAAGAATTACACACGGCACGGCGGGTTACTTCGTAAGTTTAAGATGCCCAATATAACTGTGTTATACAGTTAATCAAGAATCGTGGAGATCCAGAGCTGTAAATGTCGATCTCTCGCGCAGTGGAGCACACCAGCTGTTCTGTCTCGAGAGCTAGGTCTTGCCCTATGAAATACTGTATTAATTTCAAGGCTCTATTCAGAACTTCTACCCCGGCCAAACAAATACCCTAACAGGGCCTCAGTCTTGTGTAAAATGTGGACTTCTTGCGACGAACACATCGCGGCAAAATTAGGGTGACTTGACAACTTCACGACACGCAACACTGCAGCCCCATAATAGCGACCGTTGACAATTTCGAGCGTTTCTGCAGACGATACTAGCAGGGAATACTAGCGACCATTGACAATTTTGAGACACGCAACATTACACACGATAATATGGAGATGGCGGGAAGACCACGCGCTCTGACGCACATTAGTGATGGTGTTCTTCCAAATAAACTCACCGCCGAGACTATTCCTCTAGCCGCTACGCGCGGCGCGGATGGGGATCTAAGCTAGATGCCTGGGACTCACGAGCAAATAAATTGGAGGAAGTTGCAGGAGATGCGGTAGCTGCTGCTCGTGAGTCCCAGCCATCTAGTGAGACGGGGATACTGTCGGCGGTGCGGCATAGTCGCAAAAACAGGTCCGCAATTAACATATCGCTGAGACCCTATTAAAGCATTTGTTTCGTTACTCGGAGCCGATCCTAGTTTTGCCGCGATTTGTTTCTCGGGAGAAAGTCCATCAAGTCCGCATTTTTCATAGGACTGAGGCCCTGTTAGGGTATTTGTTTGGCCACCCTAATGCCGGGGTAGATGTTCGAAGGAGAGCCAATTTCAAATTTGAAAATAAAGACAAATGTGTTGTTTTTGTTTTGACAGTTTTATTAAATTAACATAAAATTTCACAGCAAGAGATTGAGACTATTGTAGAAATATATCATCTAATGAAAACAATTCTGAATTACATCTTTATTATATGCAGCATACAAAATTATATTTTATATTCTGCCATGATTAAATCCATAAGTTAGAATTAATTCATTTAGTAGTAATCTATAGTTGGCACTACCCATGATTGAAAAAGGTACATAACCGTGTATGATTTGTTAATTTCAAGTTCGATAATAATGTCGCAAATTTAATCTTTACTAATTTTTGCTAGAAACTAGGGCTGTACCGAATACTCGCTTCGTATTCGCTTCGGGGCCGAATAGTGGACCTAATAACTATTCGGTATTCGGCCGAATAGTTGCGATCAGGCCGAATACGAATAGTGGTTACCTCACACCCGTTTCTGGACTGGTGGAAAATGAACATATCAAGATTTCCCACCTTGGTTCATACTGCCTTAATGCTGACAACATAGAACGATTTTTTTTTTGGGGGGGGGGGGGGGAGCTAATGCCGCTTTCATGGAATAACTAAGCTGTCAGTGACAATTTACAAGTTTAGTTACTTGTTATAAAACTAAGAATACTTTCATTCCTAGGTATTTGTTACCACAGATTGACTGACTGAAGGACGCAAAACATGAAATGTTTTTAAATGTTTACTATTCTATACTACATTTTGTGCAGTAAAATTTCAGCGTACATTTGACATTATGGATGTTTTTTTTTTTTTTTAAGATCTATTTTATACACTATTCGAAAGTGCAAGAATGGACCTCAGTTTGAATAGTGGGAAGACAGAAGTAATGGTGGTATCAAAGAAAATAATTATTCCTAAATGTGTAATAAAAGTAAATGGTTTTATTTTGGGACAAGTACAGAAATTTAAGTATCTGGGTACATGGATAACATCAGATGGAAGATGCTTTACTGAAATAAGAAACAGAATAGGACAGGCGAAAATTACATTTTATAAAATGAAGAACATCTTATGCAATATATCTTTGTCAGTGAAGGTTAGAAATATAATTCTTGCTTGCTATATACACCCAGTTTTAACATATGGCTGTGAGTCCTGGACAATCGGTAGGCAGGCCAAACAATTTTTTGAGGCCTCAGAGATGTGGTTTCACAGAACAATGCTCAAAATACCTTGGAAAGCCACACACACAGAAAGCAACCAAGAGGTTTTGAAAGAGGCGGGAGCCCGAAGACAACTACTCACAGACATAAAAAAAAGACACATCCCTGTGTGGGTTCCGGGGCCCCATCGTGGGGAAAACAAGAATAGACCCTCTGCCTACCCAAAAGGCATGTCGTAAGAGTCGACTAATTGGGGAGCTTCCTTTGAAGTCGAAGTGCATCTGCCTGAGAGGCAAGGAACCAACAGTCTGCATTCAAGTGAATCATATATGTAAAACTGATGCACACGCAACACTCAGGTTCTGGAGCAGGACTGCAGTTCAGAAGTGGACGAACAACCAGAACTTTCCACAAGAGTGAACAGCTGGTGAACGCGAAGAAGAAGAAGAAGGAGACAGTCATCATTTTTCGGCCATGTTATAAGATAAAAGAAAATGGAACATGTGGTAACCACTGGAAAGATCTGTGGAAGGAGGGATAGAGGAAGACAACGAGAGAAGATTCTTGACAGTCTTGTTGCATGACATGGAGGTGTGTCAGCACACGAACTAATACATGCTGCAGGAGTATGTAGATTGTGGCGAGGCATGATCGCCCATGCCAGTCGGCAAAGCACCTGACGATGATGATTCACTATTCGTATTCGGCCGAATAGTTTGTCCAGCTATTCGTATTCGGCAAGAAACTAGGGCTGTTCCGATTAGGGATTTTCACTATTTGGCCGAATACGAATAGCGGGACCAACTATTCAGCCGAATACGAATGCGAATGGTGTATCATCATCAGGTGCCTTGTCGACTGGCTTGGGCCTTGCCACAATCTGCGATCTCCTGCAGCATGTATTAGTTCGTGTGCTGACACACCTCCATGCCATGCAACAAGACTGTCAAGAATGTTCTCTAGTCTTCCTCTATCCCTCCTTCCACAGATCTTTCCAGTGGTCACCACGTGTTCGATTTTATCTCTTCTCATAACATGGCCGAAAAAGGATGACTATCTCCTTTTAGTGTCTTTTATTAGTTGCCTTTTGGCTCCCGCCCCTTTCAAAACCCCTTGGTTGCTTTTTTTTTTTTTTTGGCTGTCTAAGGTATTTTAAGCATTGTTCTGTAAAACTACATCTCTGAGGCCTCGAGAAATTGTTTGGCCTGCCTACCGATTGTCCAGGACTCACAGCCATATGTTAAAACTGGATGCTGTACCACGCAACCAGGTCGCAGTTGCCCCCGCTACGACAGACTTAGGCAACAGCAACTATTTTAGTCCATCGCAGTGTATGCAGAAACGGGTGTAAGGTAACCACTATTCGTATTCGGCCCGACCGCAAGTATTCGGCTGAATACTGAATAGTTATTAGGTCTACTATTCGACCCCGAAGCGAATACGAAGCGAATATTCGGTACAGCCCTTCTAGAAACATTAATCTTTCAAAAAATACAGTGAGGGTTTATGGAGAAATAAATTATATAATGCGTGTTTGTATGTATACATAACTTTGTTTTATCCATAAATCATAAAATAGTTATTTTAAGAAAAGAATAATTATACTGTTCAGAAGCATTAAATCATGCAGAAATTACAGAGTGTGCTAACTTCGGGTTATAATAAAATTGTGTGCTAACACTTTCGTTCAGCCCTCTGGGGAAACCCAGCTGGTTATTAGGCAGCAAACCCATTGTATCTGGAGACCACATGACCTCGCCGGTCCCATCGTCCTTTTATGTGATCAAGGAACTCGCAGAGTCTGACAATTGCCTGTCAGACTTGAAAAGGTTAAGGTCATGCGAGTTTCCTCCCTTAACACATACATGGCTCGAGGGTTGCTGTCTGGGAAGAGTTGGACTGGGTGTATCTCCTGAACACTATAAGGAAATAAACAGATACACAGAACTGGGGTGGCCTCTAATGTTTACACTAGCTCTGTTCCACCTGCGACATAGCTGTCGGACGCCAACCTGATAAGTAAGCTTCAATTGCGAATGCTGAAAAGCTCAGAGAGTGGTCGGCACTATCTCTTTTGTTATTTGTGTGTGTCTTCAATCAAATTATAATAATGGAATAAATATCCATGGTCCTTTTGCAAGAAACTGATAATTATCGCCAATATTTTAACACCTATGAATAGGGCTTAAAATACGCAATATGATAACAGGAAAAGCGGCTCAAACAGTAGCAGTATTTTTTTCTGAAGAAGAATGACCTTTAATTCACTAAAGAATAAAGGAGCATGCCATAGGGATTAATGGTCTTGTAGACTGTAACCATTATAGTCAGCAATTTATTTTGCATAATCAGCAAATCAAATTAGCTTCATATTTTTTTAAATGCTCCGGAGATGTGATTTTTATAAACTAATAATGACAATCTGAGAGATGCCCTATTTTTAGAGCATGTTCTGAAACGACCTTAAATAGGTATTAGTGTCCCAGAGCAAATCTAACAAACTGAACATACAAGCACACGCACGCACACAGGCACACACGAGTGAGGCTACAAACAATTTACATAGAATTAGGCAGGCATAGAGAATTTACTCTAGACCTGGTTCACCTTCAAAATAGGTAATGGAATCGGACACCAAACTAATAAGCTTAGCTTTGTCTTTGAAGCTCTGCGCATGCCTGTTACAAGTGTTAAAGATAATATATGGCTATTAGAGGTACTCGCTGATACCCTGTCAGTAGCTGCATCTTCCTCTAATCTCCACTTCCCTATGTTATAATATGTTTCTTAAATAGTACGAATTCGTTTTTGATTCAGT